GCAATGACCTCATGGCATAGCCTCATTTGGCAGGAGCTGCTCACTGGCGGTGTCTGACATTAAGATGTAAACATCAGATTAAAACTGTTTAAAGAGAGCAGGAGTCTATTAATCAGGCTCAGGACCCAAGGTAATTGAATAAAAGTGCATAAGCAGTTTGGCACAAAAAGACATATTCTTCCTTTCCAATATATTCTGAAGAGGAAACGTTATTCCTTAGAAATCTCATTTCCCCTTTTATCCCTACCAAATAGCATTTTTAAAGTTGTAAATATTATAACCACGACTACGTTTTAGACTAAATTTCCATAAATACAAAGATAAGTTCATTCTCAATGCTAGCAGGCACACTTCACTTCTGAATTACTGAGTTCTTCCAATCTAGGGGTTTCCAAATGTTGTACGTTGAGGTGAAGGACAGCAACAAATTCTAGATATTTCTAGATTAGGTCTTTTTTTGGTACCAGGATCAAACTCAGGAACTTGCACCCTGGCAAGATTTTGTCTTTTTAACAAGTTGTACCTCTCTTGTGTCCAAAAGTCCTTTGAGTTACCTTTCTAAAGTAACTATTTTTATCATTTATTTTTTAAATGGAAAAAACTCAAAAAGGAAATATAACAAATTCATTTTGATATACTCGAACCTCAGTGTGATATATTATGGACTTCTCACTACATGCTGAAATTGATTTTTTATATTTGTTAAGAGATACAATATGATTTCCTGTTACTTAATTATTAATACTATTTTATACCTGTGTCTTTTTGCATATTTATTAACATAAAGGATGGTATCAGTAATTACAAAATAAAATACAGAGTCTCTTTTATACAATTCATTTTTGATTAGTCTAAAAAGCTGACACTATTATACATAAATGTTTAGGATTTTTTTAAATGAATTAAGAGTTTGGACTAAATGACCTTTCTTCTACACTTGAAACACCAGTTTATGGATTCAGTAGGTAAAACTGCTTTCAACTTTTGTTTCAAATTTATATTTTTGATTTGAAAAATGTTCTTGTAATGTGTTGTTTAAAATTTTTAACATCATATACTTACTAGATTTTGGAAATGAAATTTATCCTGGCTTAGCAAAAATTTGAAGTAAATTTGGAGACTTTGCCAAGAGATGGAATCCCTGCAAAATATCTAGTTGCTATATACAGGTTTAGTCTAATTTACCTTTTGTCTCATGACTTCTTTTTCTTTAGCTAGTGTACTAACTTTGCTAGTGAGAACTCACATTCTCCTGTGACTTAAAGACTGGATGTTTTCAGCATCTACTTACACTCTTATTGTTTAGTAAACAACTCTGTGTGGGGTTAAGAATCTCCAAAGTTTCTAATAGTGAAATTTAAGTACAAGACCACAGCAAAATGAAGCACCTTATTAAAATACAGTGCACGATGCTGGACGAATTCCCAAAATTAACAAGGTTAAATGCAGAGAAAGAATTCCTGTCCTTATTGAAAATGTTGGCTTTTGAATAGAAGCATGGAAATTACTTTTTTTTTTTTTTTTTTTTTTTTTGTACAGGGGATCAAACTCAGGTCCTTGTGCTTGCAAGGCAGGCAGCGGAAATGCTGAGCTAAATCCCCAGTCCGAAATTACTTGTTTTTTTATTCAGTGTTTTATTGTTGTTCAATCTTTCTAAGGCAAATGTGATATCAAATATTTCTGAAGTACATGGAGAGTATTCATTATGTGTGTGTGTTTCTGTTTTGCTTTGTTTTTGGTAGCGTGGATCAAACTTGGGACCTTGTGCTTTCAAGGCAGGCAGTGGAACCACTGAGCTAAATCCCCAGCCCTTTTATGTGTTTTTAATGTGCTTTAGAAATGGACTTTTTAAATTTATTGGACATATTTCCTATTCAAAAGAGCTGGTTTAGAAGAGAATTAATTTATTTTTATCCTACAATATCTTTGAAATTTCAATTTCCCTTTTTGTGTTGTGTCTTGCCCTCTTGAGTTGAGAAGCATTTAGCATAGCAAGAATGGGCCAAATAGAGGAGGAGGAGAAAGGAGTGGCGAGCCTGGAGTAAAGAAAATATGGAAATAGAAGACGGACGGACCTATGCTCTCCCATTTTTATTTTTCAGGATAAAAGCTCTAACTTTGACCCAAATTACTGCAACATTTTCTTGCTTCAAAGCCTATTCTCCACAAAGCAATTTCAATTAATCACTTAAAAATGTTTGTAAGATCTCGTCACATCTCTCCTTCAATTTCTTTTGTTTCCTCTTGGACTTAGAAATTCAAACTCTACCATACCATAAAGGTGATCTGTGCTCTGGTTTCTCAAATCTCCCTCTTTAGTCTCTGCTCTACTTGGAAAACTCACCAAGGCTTTTTCAACTTTAGAAATCTTTCAGTTTACTTAAGCCCATGCCTGGATGCTCAACTTCCAGTGTCTCAGCTCAAATATTACATTGCAGAGAGATCTTTCTTTTTTTACTAATTTATTTGAAAGTGTTCTTCCACCTCGACCCCAGCCAGGGCTCAGAATTTTGCTCATTTGTACCTGATAGCACGCAGGACCATATGAAATTACTTTCATTGATCTTTTACCTTCTTCCTTCAGGGAGAGTATGAGCACATAGAAAGCAGGGCTTTTTGCTGCCTTGGCCACATAGATATCCTCATTGGCTGCCACGGTGTCTGGTGCAAAGTTGGTGTAAAATAAGTATTTGCTGAATAAGTGAATGGATGAAGTGAGGAATTTGGATGGGACTGGAGTAATGGACTTAGGTGTGTTTTCTTGAATAGGGTGATGTAACTTTTGGACATTCAGTTCATCTGAGAAAAATTTGCTTCATGGCAGATGGAAGGAAGTGACATTAGGAAGACTGAAGCCAACTTCTGGAGTTATTATATGCCATGGCACAGTGTCTGGAATCCCTTTTGTGGTCAAAGGATAGCTACTGAAGATATTTTTATAGCCAAAGTGTACTTTAGAAATTCCTCCTTGATTGCTGGCTCTGGAAAATGGTGCGTGTGTCAAGGCAGCCTCATACTCTCCAGTTGCTGACAGAAATGACTTCTGCATTTCACCGGGGTGTTGATTTAGTTGGTGTCCATTTCTTTCTCCATGCAGCAGGACTGCCACGCACAGCCGTTCTGCTATGCCTGGAGGAAATGTTTGCCTTAGTTCCCCATAGACTGAACCGAAATGACCCAGAGTCTCTGAAAGTCTCTTCTTTCTAGTATTTCTCACTTTCCAGGGGACAGTGGCTTCCCTTAAAAGTTTGATAACATCTTGTCAGATAATTCTCCTGTCCTCAATTGTTTTCTATTTCAAAGTTTATTTTTCTAATGCATAAACTTCCCCTCTCCTGTGGTTTTTTAAATTATGTTTTAAAAGCAATCCAGTTTGGAGCCTTCAGTCTGGAGTTTGCTTTGGTTTATGTCAGTGAAGTAGCGTATTTTTTACCTCAGTACCTGTATAATTGTTAGTATCATTTGTAGATGCCTATGTAACTAATATGCACCTATATTTATGTGTAATAAATGGAGAAAATTGGGAAAGAATTCGGGTGCAAAATTAGTTTATTTGATTGCCAAAATGATTTTGGGTGCAAAGAGTGGAGGATGAAGATAAAAGTGATGAAAATAGTAATCCCAGGCAAGATTTAATAAAAGGAAGTCCAGTAGTTAGGAATATGAGTGTTATGTGAAAGAAGGAAAGATTTTACTGTTACTAGACAGATTAAGAATCCCAGATAGACCATAAAAGAGATCAATGTATGTTTTCTGTGGTAAGAGCTGGTTATTTATGTGTTACTTGACCACAGTCACCGTGGCCTGCAAACTCACATTTTCTTTCTAATTTTTAACCTTGAAGTAGCTAGATTGTCAGAAGAAACCCAGTGATGTACTATATGATATCCTATGATTTTATAGTTACTTTTCATAACATGAGTTTTCTTTTAAGAGTAGGAATTACTTACTGAGAGAAAGAAAGCTTCTGTCTAAGAGAGACAGAAAAGGGCCCAGACAGTGGATTGCCTGCTCACCCCACTTTTCAAAGATGTTTTATACAGTAAAGAACAGTGAGTTTTCATTTCTTGACGCTTGGAAATAGATTAAACATATATTGTGTATCACAGTGAAAAGTCAACTAAGGTGGATATTTATATTTTCTGGTAAGAAGTAAGTGGATCTCTCTGTAGACATTCTCTATGACTAAAGCCTGAGTTAGAATATCTTAAATCGGGTGAATTCAATTTCATTTTGCTAATCATTGCTTTTTCCATGGAGAGGAGTATTAAGTAGAAGAAGAAAATGACAGTGCCTCTGTAATGATTATTAGAAATTCTTTCTTTTCTATCAGTGAGAATCAAAGTTAGACATTTAGCATCTCTTATATATTATAATAATTTACTCCTTTTAACTTATTGTCTTTTATCTTTGAATGCCTGCGAGGAAGAATTCACTCCATCCCATCCTTTGAAAGATGAGAACAGTGTTTGTAGTCTGATTTTTGGGGTTAGTAATGAAATCAAGTGAAAGAAAGGAGAAAAGCACAGAACAAAAATGTTGAATGTAGACTAGAAACACACAGATCTGGCAGTTTTTTTGTATGTGATTAATCATAAAACAAACATAAGCATATAGACTCAATTATCTAGAAAACACAAATGGTTTAGAAAAGGGGGGAAGGAGAAAAAAATCCGGAGCAAATCTATCTGTTTTTGCCAACATCAAAACATCTGCACTCCGGCCGGGGATTTAGCTCAGCGGTTCGGTAGCCTGCCTTGTAAGCGCAAGGACCCGAGTTCAATCCCTGGTACCAAAAACAAAACAAGACAAAACAACATCTGCACTCATTTCAGGATGCATGGCTTATTAACTTCCTGGCACTTAAGTGTGGCAGTTGAAAATATATATGGCAATTTCCCTCTTCCTATTTTCATGCTATGAAACCTTTGAACGGAAATTGGTTTACAAGTGTTTGCCCTCCTGTTTTCCAAGTGTTTCATCCTTTTTTCTCTCTATAGCTTGACCTTTTAGAGGAAGCAGTGCAGGCAGCACACACGTTTTTCATGGCCAACCCTGAGCACATGGAAATTCAGCAGAGCATTGAGAATTATAGGACCATGGCTGGCGGGGAATCATTCCAGCTGGTAGACCGAGAGGCCAGACCACACTTGGTGAGTTCTGGGGTCCCTTTTTTCCATGACGTGGGGCTCTGTGCTCCTAAGTTCCCTTTGACTCACGCACATCCACGTGGACGTATCATTCAAGTTGACTTTCCCTTCCTGATAACACTTTTATATCTTTACATTTCTCAAATGAAATTTGTAATTCTAAGGTCGGAAGCATGAGACGGTGTTTAATATTTTTAATTAAAAATGTGAAAATTTCAGCTAAAATTTTAAATATTGAAAGAAATGCAAATTAACCTTTAAAAAGCAGTATATGGTAAAACCTAGACTATTAGACAGACATCTACAGCATTCTCTGTGCCTCAGCTCCTTTTTCACACTTTTCTTTTTTTAAAAGAAGGTCTGGCTAGGTTGGCCTTGAACTCTTGAGCTGAAGTGATCCTTCTGCCTCAGCCTTCTGAGTAGGAGGTCCTGCAGGTGTGGACCTTGGGATCTGGCTTCCGACAAAGGTATTTACACCTCAGAGCTGAAGCCAACTTGACTTTTTCAGAATCACTGTGGTTTCCTGGCTTTTGGTCTAGAGCCTTATCTCTTGTACCTGTTCGTTTCAAATTGAGTCTTCGTAAAGCTATAGAATTCTTTTTTCGGATGAAGGGTTACCAGACATCACATATTGGAGGAGTTTTCTCCTGTATTTCCAGTTTGCAGGGCGACCATTTTCAGTGTGTGGCCTTCATACCTGTAGAAAAGGATAAGAGAAGATTTTAGGTGGAAGACTAATTATTATTAAGACATTATTATTAAATTGGTCCAGGCCTATAAGTGGATATGATTTCCACTCACATCAGCTGCTCTGTACTTTTATTCATGGCTTACTGACTGGCAGAACAACTGGAAAATACAGTCTTATATGCTCTGGAAGAGCTTGATCAGCACCACAGCAGGCTGCTTGCTCAGTAAGCCTCTCTCGTGTATAGTTATTTGAATGCAGGGAGGTTGTAGGTTAGCTCCCAGCACAGTCCTTCTTCATTCCTCTGCATCACCAGAGTCAGATCCCCCACCTCCCCAAATATCCTGCTCTTTGCAAAAGCAGCCCTGTCTGTCTGCCCATTACTTTGCAGGAAAGCTACAGTGCAGCTCTGAAACATTATGAGGCCGATGATTTTGAAGTGGCTGTCAAGTACTTCGAAAAGGCTTTGAGAGACTATTTCAGTGAAGATACGGAGTGCCGGATCCTATGTGAGGGGCCTCAGAGATTTGAAGAGTACGACTACTTACGGTATAAAGCCGGTCTCTATGAAACCATTGCAGGTAAAGCTTATTTTGCTCATTATAAAAATACTACATGCATTCTTTAAATGCACTCCAGCATTATAGCAGTATTTATTGTAAAAGTCAAAAGACTTGTATATCTCTCCCATTCTAACTCTTGTTGATAAATCTGTGTAGTTATAATTTTGTAACGGTTCTCCACTTGTGGATATCTATGCATTTATTTATAATTCTTTTATTGCACTTTTATAGAAATAGGGCAATACTATAAATATTGCTTTTCAACTTTTTCTATTTTGGCTTTTATTTTATGCTTAACAATAAAGTATGGATTTCTTCTCATGTAAGTACAGATAGAGTCACCTAATTTTATTTAATGGCTAAGTAGTATAACCCTTTTTTGGCATATCATAATTTATTTGACCTGTTTCATTGTTTCCTTGGGCCTCCACCAGATCCATTTGTTTGTATTTTTCTGATCATTGTTCATTGAAACAACAGTTTTCCGTGTGGTTTACATGTGAATTGCTACATATTTCTTTACACTGAATCTTTGGGCACGGGAAGGCTTTTCCTTTATTTGGGTTTACTAAATTACAGCTTCTGGGGACCTGGGTCCTGCCTCCATCCCCCCATTGCCACTACCCCTGCTTCTGTGAATGTCCAGGAAGAATAATTTGGTCCCAGGGCAATTCTTTTCAGGTGCCTGGTGTCCTGCACAAAGACTCGGATAAGCAACACAGAAAGGACAGTAGTGGTGTGCACGTATTGAAGGTAGATAAGAAGTGAACTCGCAGACTAAGCCAGTGGCCAGATTCACAGTGACTGTGAGCTTTAGAAGAAGTGGAATTCCTGGCCCGGCTTCTCCTTCATACAAATAAAGGATTGGAATGATTTTTCTCTCAAAAACTCACTTGTCCTGCCTCTAGATTTAACCTGCCTTAGCGAAAGCCTTAACGAGGCTCCACACCAGATGTAAATGTGGCGTTGTAAATAGTGCCTTGCTGATTGGTTCCACTTACACTGCACATGCGCGGCAGAGCCCTCCTGCGCCCCGTGCTCTGTAATGTGCCGTGGGTCTCCATGACTTTGACAGTTTCCCTCCAGTTGCTGGACCAGGCTTGACTCAGCCCTGATGTGCTTCCATTGTGGCAGATATCCTAGATCTGGGCTAAGAAATAGACTGAAAACTTCTTGTAGATTAGCATTTAGCAATTTGTTCCATTTAGTATAAAATTTCTGAAATGTAATCAAATAAAACTGATGTTCTAATGAACAGTGGTCACAAAATACAACATAGTGGTTTTGGAAAAGAATAGAGGTCTTCTAACTCGGGTTCTTTAATTTTTAACGTAATTACCACCACCAGTGTCATAACTTTCAATAAAGAAAGGCGATTTAAAAAAAAAAAGAAGGTTTAGTCCCACAGACCAAACCAAATACTAGCACAAATTACAGAAATATGCCAAGTTTCTTGGGAATTTGAAGCATATCCAAATTATTATGAGGAGGAAAATTTAAAGTATTTTCCCACACAGTATCTTGGTTCTCAAACTTACTAGAAGCATATTAATTGCACAATCACATTTAAGATAGAAAGCAGGCAAGGAACACAAGTAATAAAAAGCAATATGACACCTCTCACTGTGTAAAATTCTGTCTGGTTCAAATTGTCCTAAATTAGGAAGAAAGCTAGCATTTAAAGTACAAAATGTACTAGAAAAGCATAATGTTGAGATTTGGAGTTAGAAGAGACATTGAAAGCTAGAAGAACTACAGATAGCTGGTGAATGCAGTTATTTATTCATGACTCTGCTGACCAAAGCCCTGAAGGATATCTTTTTGTCACTCTCATTTTGTTGCTGTTTGTATTCTGTCCTGAAAATATTTCCATTCCAGTTTTGGATTTGCTAGGTGTGTTTTCCCCCTTTTCCTTTTGCTTGCTATTTAGAATTAGAAGAAATGTATGTGTATAAGAAGGGAAGGGGACTGCAGAGTTCATGTCTAACATGTAACCAGGCAAAGAGAATGTATTCTTCCCTTGCAGACCCCAGCTGAAGTTAAAGACTAGTGGACTCAGGAGGTTCTGTTAGCTGTGCCGTGTAGGATTGACTTAGCCACGTTGTGTGAAGCTGGCACAGCGTCCTGCGTCAGAAATTGCCCGTTTCCTTCCTGTTGTGTTCTGATGTCACTCTTCAAGATCACCCAGAGTCCAGCTGAGCTCAGACTGAGCAGAGCACCTCTGGAAGGAAGGCAGAGCTATGGTAAATTAAACTGTGCAGCCGTGGTACCCAATGATTGTATCCTCCTCTAGGGAGGAGGATGACCTAAGTGTGAATGAACCGCTCTCTTCCTGAAAAGACTACCTCCAACTTCCTTGTGAAAGATCAACTTAGGCAATATATGGGAGGAACTTTCTTCTCTGTGCCATCAGCCTATTGTGTTTCCCAGCTCTGGCTGTGTTGACTCAGCCAAGGATTCACAGAGCATGAAAACCCTTGCACTTGCAGGTCAGGAGATGCTGTCTATTTGCACCTGAATAATAAGGACAGTCAAAAACGAGCAAGTAGGAACCAGAAAGGCTGTATTCAAATTCTTTTGTTATTGTTGTTTTGCTGTTGTTGCTGTTGAGAAGTGTCCCATTCTGTGTCGCGTGAACTGGACTGCAGCTGCAGGCACTCCTGTTTAACAGTGGAGGTCCGTTCCTGGTCACTAAATGAGGAATTGTTTACAGTGTGTGCATTACAGTTTTCAGAGCAAAGAAATAGTCAAAGGAAACCACCTTGATGCCTGCTTTTATTTGCATAACTCTGTAATCGTATCAGCACATAAACCTGCAGTACTGTACTCTACATTATGATCAGCAAAAATTACAGTACTGGATAGCAAGGTTACCAAAAATAAAAAGACATTGAGACTCTATAAACAAGATGTACAGAACTGTATTAAAAAAATAGACAGATCATAAATCTGAGTGGCACGTCGTTAGTCTGAACAGTCATTAAACAGGTGGGTTGTTAAACAAGGGATATCTTGTACTTCATTCAAATAATCCTCAGTCTTTAGCCCCTGGAGTAGCTGGGATGAGAAGTGTGTGCTTCGCCACATCTGGCTCCTATCAAAATTCTTCAGTTTTCATCTTCTCCTCTACTTTACCATTCCCTGGTAAAGAATATACAGTGTCCCCAGTATGTATAAGAATGCACCGTGTCCGGGGGATGGGATGATTCGTAATTGGACAGAACAGGGTCCTGACCAGTGGATATAAGACACAGGGTTTTTATTACCTCTTTAGAAAAATTTGGCTTGGATCGATTAACAAGAAAAAAAAGAGCTCTACTTCTCCCTCTGAACTCTGCCTACTCGTGGTTGTATAACTAGGATCAGACTTTCAACCCTGACCCAAGACACTTCAGGCCCTCTAAAGCATCCGTAGTGATGCCTCGAGGTTGTTAGGTCAGAAAGTCCACGCTTTGCCCAAGGGTGTGAGTACCGTGAAATGATCTCTGTCACTTTCAGGCAGGGTAAAAAAGAACACAAAAATGCTGTGGGAAGAAGAGGGTGCAGCGTATGGAAAAGACCAGGAGCCAGAGGGTTTGGGATCTGCTCTCCCAGTGATCACCCAAAGGAGCTGGTGGCAAATTGCTGTCTGTAAGATTTTGCAGTCTTGAAATGAGAATCATAGCGAGTCCTCCCTGGGGTGTGGTGAGGGAGGAGCGCTTGTGAAGCTGGACCTGTGACCGAAGCGTGGCTTTCACGGCCTGGGGGACATAGGCTCGGCTCTTGTCTTCCAGATCACTACATGCAGGTGCTGGTTTGTCAGCATGAGTGCGTGAGGGAGCTCGCCACTCGCCCCGGCCGCCTCTCACCCATTGAGAACTTCCTTCCTCTGCATTACGACTACCTACAGTTCGCCTACTACCAAGGTAAAGCATGGGTCATCTCTGAAGATCTGCAGGGGCCGTTTTCCCTTAGCGCAGCCATCACTTTCTCCTCGCTCAGTTCTCTGCTCTCTTCACTTGGCCAGTGTGTTGGTCAGCTTTGCTGTTAATGGGACAAAATCCCTGACATCTGTAATTAAGAGGGCAAAGAGTTTATTTTGGCTCATGGTTTCTGTCCATGGTGGGCTCGCTTCGAGGCAGGCACATGAGAACTGACAGGCATGGCGGAGCAAAACTGCTCACTTCATGGCCACTGCGGAGCAGAGAACCGCAGAGGAGTGCCAGAAAGGGGCCAGGCACAAGGTGCTGTCCCCGTGACCCACACAGACACACCCAGGAGCGTGCTTCACTGATCTGCTGCGCGTCTCTTCATGGAGTCAAGAGCACAATCATAAGGAAAGGCTGCAGTCGTCAAAACAATCAGAGTTTATGCCGTTTCTCTCTCATCTCACGTTACTGTAGTTTACGACAAGCGGAGCAGACAGTGACACCAGAAGTGGACAAAATGCAGCATTTAATACTGGAATAATTTCCTGAAAATTATACTTGACTGACACTTTTCAATTTTTAGATTTAATTTTAGTATGAATCCATCCTCATGGATTAAAGACCAAATATTGTAGATGCCTCCCTCTCTTCTCTGTCTCTACAGCCCAATATCATGCAGTTCAATATAACTTCTTATTTATTCTTGCAGAACTGTGTACATAAATAACCGTCTATACACACACACACACATACACAGAAATTTATTTCCCCTTATTTTACACAAAAGTCAGCATGTATTTATACTGTTTTCTACATGTTTTTCACTTAATATCCTCAACTAAAATGTATCTGTGAAATTGTCAAGTTTTGGCAATTTTATATGGTTCTATTTAATTTTAGCAGTATATAGAGATCTTCCCCATCCATTTTTTAATATCGCCATGTTATTTTACTATAACTTATTTCAGTTTTCTCTTGGTGGATGAGTAATTACTCATAATCTTCTATTATTACAATCAACATCTGAGTGGATAATATTTCAGATATGTCATTCCATGCCTTCGTGTAATTATCTGCAGGACAAATATCTAGAAATGTTATCGATGGATCAGAAAAATTATGCATTTGTAGTTTTGCTAGACATTTGCAAATTTTACTCCACACAGATTCTTACATTTTCTGATGTTCATGAGTATGTTTGTTCGTTATCAAATTCTTACATAATCACCAACCCAGTAGTGAAAATTGATATCTCAAAAGAATTTTATCTTACTGACAGAGATATTAAGCATCCTTTCTTATGTTTAAAAGCACTAGAATTCAGATTGCTGAAATTGGTCATAGCCATCATGTTGTCTAAAAATCTTTATTTTATAGAGAAATAATTAAAGTCACTCAGCTTTCTGACAGGTCCTAATTCCCAGATCATTGTTTTTCTAGTTATTTCTACTATTTCTAGCATCAGTGTCTTGCATGGAAGTCAGTAGGAAAGTATTTCCCTTTTAAAATAATAAAAAGTAGTAAGCCAACATTTTAAGGCTACTTTGGAGAATCCTCTCTCTTCTCAAAAGCAAACCATTACTCATTGTCCTGGCACTCTCGGCAAATGATAAATCATGTTCACATCATGAGGAGTAAAAGCGAAGGAATTGAGAGAGTTGCCTAATTGTTGTCACTCTTAGTAGCAATCAGAGCTGTCTCTGAGTATATATATCTGGAAGAAATTTCTTTTAAAACAAGTCCAGTCCCGTGACCTATTTGAAAACACGACATACAACTTTCAAACTAAATAATCCCTTGTAATAGCTGCGTATTTCCAATAAAGAGTTCATAGTTGAAACATTTTTGCTTGTTTCTTTGAGTAGGTGGCTACTACTTAGGTTGCTGTAGAGGGAGGGGTTGGGGGTATTCTCCAGAGCATTCCATAAAAGTACCAGTTTTTGCAAACTTAACAGCAATGAGAAGTATCATTTTTAAAGCGCTCACAGTCCTCATACATCATGTACAAAATGATGCTTCTTTGATGTAGAAGGCCACCCTCAGGATGTTTAGTTAACCTTAATCAATACAAAAGTCAAAATGAACTCCTATAGGTCTTCTGTGCATTTGCATTAAGTTTTCCACAAAAATCTTCACGTAAAGACTTTTAATCACATATGCAAAACACGCAGCACCAAAGCAGACCAAAACTTCCCTCTTTTCGTGGCTCAAATCCTATCCTTTCTCTTGTATCTCTTGTTCACCCGGCTCAGCCTCAATTTATATTCCCTTTCATTGATAAGCAATGCTGCCGTCAGCAGATGTGTTGATGTCTCTCTTGCAAGCCCCTCTGAGCAGAGAACCAGGCTGACCTCATGCTGCACACTCTTGGCCTTTCAGTTGGTGATTATGTAAAAGCTTTGGAATGTGCCAAGGCCTACCTCCTCTTCCATCCTGATGATGTGGATGTGCTGGACAATGTAGATTACTATGAAAGTCTGATGGAGGCTGGAATGGACTCAGCATCTGTTGAGGCTAGAGAGGTAAGACCGATGCTCCAACAGGAAGTTTATTCAGACCAGAAGCATATGTTTCTTCATATATGCTAGCTTGTGAAAATATGTTTACGCGAGGATATGTTTTTACAGCTCTGGATATTTCGGTTAGCTCATTTGTCATTATCAAATAAAAATATTTTTACTTGACCATCTATCATGCGATTACCACCCAGCGTGGGTCCTTGCTTCAGTTTTCATGGAAATTAAAACTGAGGCATTCAGCATGAATTTACAGGAAAAGAATTGTGTTTGGAAAGTAAGGAAAATGAGAGAGGGTACAACTCTGACAAAAACCCGAGCTGGACCTCTAACAAAGGAAAGGGAGAGCAAATAGGTCTGGAGAGGAGACTGGGACTGGCCCAACAAAGAATAGAAAGCGGTTTGATGGGGTGCTGTGGTGGCCTGGACTCTGGCTGATTGCTATCTCAGTTCTGCTTTCTTAGCTCCGGAAGAATCCTTTTTGGCTCGAGGGAAATTCAGTTCCCATGAAATGGCTATTCTTGCTTGGGGGTGGAGTGACTTCATCATGGGACAGTCACAAGCCTGCCTTTCCTAGACCTCACTGAGACTGCGGGCTTAGAACAACAGCCATCTAGAGCTGGACACTGCAAAAGCTAGTAATTGAAACTGCCTGTAAATCCTGAAATTCCATTGTCTCATCTAGCTGTTGTCAGTCTTGATCGGGGAGAGGACAGGCTGGGTAAATTCAGGGCTAATGTAATGCAGACGGTCCTGTAGTTATTAGCTTGCCTGTGTGCAAAGTTGAACACAATTTTAATGTCATAAAGGGGACATAGAAAATGAGAGCACAAGTGCCAGGCTTGACCTGCTTTTAGTTTCTCACTGGGCAGCTGCCTCAAAATAAAACACGAATTATGCTTTTAATGAATAACAGGTTAAGGACTCGGGAGTGAGTTTGTTTGTCTTCTGTCCCTATAATGATTTCTAACTGTATCAGTATTTCTTCTTGTTTTTTTTTTTAAGAGAGGATCTTGCTATGTAGTTCAGACTGGCCGTGAATTCACTATGCATCTCAGCCTAGCCTTGAACTGGCAGTGATCCTCCTGCCTCAGCCTCTCAAGTTCTGGGATTACGCGTGTGCACCAACCACACTTGGCTGTGTCAGTATTTCTTGAATGTTATTTAACATAAATATTATCCTTTTTCCTTCTTTTTCCCCTAGGATGCGGCAATGTTTGTGAAACGTCATAAACTTGAAGCTGAACTAATAAAATCAGCTGCAGAGGGTCTTGGATTCTCATACACTGAACCAGTAAGATCAAAATGGAAAAATTAAATATTTATTAAAATAATTTCTCAGTGGAGTTCTCATTTATAGTTTTATCCCCCACCTCCAGTCTCAACATCCAGCTTGAGTTAAAAATTGAAGAGGAAGGGTCTTTGCCCAGTACATGAATTTTAAAGATTTTAGTGGATTTCCATACCATTGAGGCCCACAGTCAAAGCCAGTATATCCAGTAGAAGTACTTTCTGTGCAATTCATTTGCCTCAGAGTTGTTTTGTTTTCTCAGAATTTATATGAACACAATGTTTCCTGCTTCTTTTAATGCTTGCTTATTATTTAAAAATTAAGGAGATTTCAGAAGGAGCAAAATCAGTCAGTCATCTGGTTGCCCTTCTTCCACATCCCAGGTTGCCTTCTAATCATTGTTCATTTGGGGACAATACTTACGGAGCTACTACCACAGTATAGCTACCTTCGTGTTCTGATTTTCACATAGAAAGATTTGTTACCTCTGTATTTGTATAGCTTTAAAAATAATTTCTAGCTGTATGCATAGAATTGATATACAAAAGTAGCACTATTCCTGCTGCTGGACATTTGAATTACTTCTGATTTTTTTACCATATTTAATGCATTAAACATTGCTTTCTTTCTATTGAGCAGTAACCTTAGACTACATCCCATTAGGATTCCTCTGCCATCAGAGGATATCAGGTTTTTAAATTCTCAAACCTAAGTTGCTTTTCTAAGGGAATTTTTCTGATACCTTCTCTTTTCCTAGTGTTGCACAAAAGTACCAGCTTACCCATGACTTCTCATCAGTAAGAAATAACATCCTAGCATGACTTCTATTACTTCTTTGCTTCCTTTTGTCCCTCTTTTTTCTCTCTCTCTCACTCCATTTATTTTTTCCTCCCTCCCTTCTTTTTCATTTTTTCTTTTGGTATAACTGGGGACTGAACCCAGGGCTTTGTCTCTTCCCCTTCTCCCCCAGTACTGGGGATCGGACTCAGGACCTTGCACTGGGGAGGCAGGCTCGGTGCCACTGAGCTAAATCACCCACCCACTGGGGCTTTCATACTGAGTGACATCTCTAGGCCTCCCCCCGCCTTTTGAAACAGGCTTTCAGTCATTCAGTTGCCCAGTCTGGACTTGAACTTCTCATTGTCCTGCCTTGGCCTCCGCTAGTGTTGGGATTATAGGTGTGAGCCACCACCACTCTAGGCCTTACTTTTCTGTTTTGAATCACCTGGCCATTGACTCTATTCATTTATCTATTGGTTCCTTACATGTTTTCAGTAATATACATTAATATAGTTATGGAAGCATTATTTTTCCATTATAATATATTTATCATTTTTCTTAGGTATGCTATGTATTCATTAGCACATTTTAAAGGTCTGGTTAATGTAAGCTCATGTTTCTAATGTAACACTTCTATAAAACTTGTTTTTATTTATTATTTGAAAGATTGTATTATCCCAAGAGGTCCCAGAACATGTAACTTTACTGATTTGAAAATTCTAGACAAATGACCGAGCTGAACTTCTTTCTTTCTTCCTTACTCTTTTCATAAAACCTAAAAACAGTTGGCTGAACGATGTTTCAGGCATCTCTGAACGAAACAATTTTCAGGCCACTTTCTGGGACTAGAGGTTGGATGCCCAAGCTAATTCCATACTAATTTTTGATTCCCTCGTACTTCATTTTGTCTTTGCCAGAATCACATCAAGCTTAGCCTTCATTTTATTAAGGTTTTAGATAAAACATAGTGTGTTTTGATGCAAGGTTGAAGCTGCCTAATATTTTAGGTCTTTGGAATATTTTATATGTACTTTTGTTTTATTTCTGAAAATGATGTTATAGCAACCAAATTACAAATATTTTCTTAATTTAATATAGAATTATTGGATCAGATATGGAGGACGACAAGATGAGAATCGGTAAGTCTTGTATTCGCATTTTTTTGCGCCTTTTCATTGAAAAGAAATACAGAACATATTATAAGGAACTTAGCCGTGTGACACTGGTAAACTACACACACACACACACACACACACACTCACAAACAGTTTTGTGCTACAAATTAAGAGACCTATGTTCTGGCTTTAGCTATTCCAGTCACATCTGTGGGACTTTAAATGGTTATCTTGCTCCCTGGGTCTCTTGATTTTTCCTAAAATTAAGGAGTTGAATCAGTTGCTCTTGGAATGCTAATATTATGTGATTCCAAATCAGAGACAGTTGCATCCTGTTTGACTTATTAGTAGTAAAAAACTATGAAATTGTAATAGTGAATTCCCTTACTATATTTAAATTCCTTTATTATATTAGCTTGAAATTAATAAGTTCAGAAAGTTTTTATGCAAGGTAAATACAAGGTGTTACTAACTCACTTAGAAGTGATAAGTCATAGTTTTGAAAGAATTGAAATAAATTTACATGGCTGAGTTATGTAAGTTTCAAATTACATGGCCCAGTTTAACTATTTTCAAATGGGGAAACAGGCCAGTCGAGGGAAGACACGTAGGCCTTCATGAAGAGGGACTGGCAGATCCAGTTCTTACTCCGAATCTTACGATGTTTCATTGGTTTTCAGGGAGTTAATACTGGAGTGCTGTAAGATTATTACAAGAGAATAGAGTGTACATGTTTGGATCTGTCCAGTCTGTTCATTGTGTATGTTGAAGGCACAGCCTGCTATCATTTGTGCCTTTGAAATGCGTGGCACGTTGCCTGGCATGGTGGTGCACGCCTGTATTCCCAGCACTCAGGAGGCTGAGGCAGGAGGATTGCTGTGAGTTTGAGACCACCCTGGACTACATAGTGAGTTCCAGGTCAGTCTCAACTATATAGTGAGACCGTCTCAAAAAACCAAAACCAAAACCAAAAACAAGTGAACAAACAAAATGCATGGCACAAACCTATATGTTCTTCTAATTATAGTCAAGAACTAACATCAGCACACACTTTATTTCAATAATTATTCAGTGATACATCCATGCTCAAGTAGTGCAGCATTTGAGCATTACCACAATGAACATGGTCATTTTTTTTCCTATTCCTTGGCATGATAATCTAATCTACAGGATAGGGGTTGAGGGCTAAATGCAATTAATTGTAACGAATGTTGCACAAAAGTATTTAGAAGATGGAAATGGATCATGGTCATTGAGAAAATAGAGTACTTCACATAGGCAGGGCCTTTGATTGATTTTGAAAATTAGGCAGCCTTGTGTGCAATATACATAAGCATACGTGATAGCATCTTTGCCTTTAACCATCTTGGTTCAATGAGAAATTGTAATTTCAACTTTATGAATGGACAGGGTACCTTCAGGAGTGAATGTGGAAGAGGCAGAAGTTCACGGATTGTCAGTGGGAAGAAAGTCATCACCCAAGACAGATCGAGAACTAAGGGAGGGTAAGTGTCTGCACACTTTTACCCTTACAAAGAAGAGAAGAAGGTGGGCTGGGAGCAGTTCTGGTCTAGATCAAGACAGAACCCACCTTCTCTGGAAAATGTAGAGTGAGACTAAATCTACAACAGTTCATCAGGCTGAAAGGGAGGCTTACAGACACAATGCCTCAGGTTCGTATATCTTTGCAGAAGTGATCCAAATTCTCTCCCTCTGCCCCATTGGAATACTGTATGTCAGACAAAGAGGATGTGGTCGTTCCATCCCAAGTCAAATTCTGGAGTCTTAATAAGGACACAGGACTCAGTTATTTCATGCAGTCAATTAGTGAGGTCCAGGTAATACGGGATTGACAGCGTTTCTGAGGAGCTCGGAGAGGAGATGGGTCATGTGAGATATTACGTTCCTTCACCTACGGTATTTAAGAATATAGACCTGAGCAATGCTTTGAGGAAAAGTCGATTATATTTTTAATGTTTTTCAACTCTAGAAATTAAACCTTATATGCTAAATTTCGTGCCCTACCACTGAGTTACATCACCAGCTTCAAATTAGATGAATTGCATTCACCGAGCTGGAGAAGCAGCCATTGTAGATGATAAAATAAATCAAGCAAAGGCACACAAACAGAAACAGCAGCACATTATGTGCCCAGTCATGTAAAATCAAAATTGGTAGAATCCCAGATGGAGTGTTGCCAAAAGCAGTTTTTAAATAGAGCCAAGTATCTTAGAATAATAAATTATGAGCACTATTAGTAATAGCAGTAATATTACTAGTAATAGCAGTAACAGTAGTGATCCCTAACAATTATTGTTTCTATATCTTTTAGACTCTTCGAAGCAAGTTTTGGAACAATCCATTTAATACTAGCAGCCTTGCCTATGTATGAAAGGATACAGGGGTGGGTGGGATTTAGCTCAATGCTTCTGTCACCTGCCTCACAAGTGCAAGGGCCCGAATTCAATCCCCCAGTACCAGAAAA